CCAGCGCTGGACCAACCTGGAACTGTCCTACTCACCGCCGCACGAGGCTGTCAGCGAATACTTTGAGCAGCACCTGGACGAGGCCATGCCGTTCTGGCTGGTAAGGTTGCTGCTGTGGAGGTGGCGAATACTACATTGTAGTCGTAGTGAAAAACAGCAGTACGAGTTGAGAGATTGGTCAATCCACGACGATATCAACCGCCACGGTATCAGTAACCATGTGATAGAGAATAGATAAAACATCTCTTACAATTGTCTGAGCGGATTTGGAATACTAGATTTTGAGATGACTTTCTTTAAACGAGAACAATGCGGTGCATTATTTCTGCTCACGAACCATTCCAGTACTTTTGGCAGCTCCAAGCATGTGCTATGCTCTCTTCTCTGGATTTTTAACCGCGTGCCTTGCAGGACCCATGCAGAGATCCCAGGCACTACGCCATCTGGTCTGAGGAGAAGCGTCGTTGCTTCAACCTACCCAACGTACTAGTGGTTGGGCCGCAGAAGACTGGCACGACGGCACTGCTGGACTTCATGACGCTGCATCCGAAGATCTCGCGCAACCGCAATACACCGAAGCACTTTGAGGAGATGCAGTTCTTCAGCAACGATGCCAACTATCTCCTCGGCCTGGACTGGTGAGGAGGGCAGCGAAGAATGATGTTGTTGTCCAGAATATTGAATGCATTGTGACTTGCAGTGGCTGACAAGCTGGGGACTTTGCTTCTTCCTTGGCTTGAAAATACAAGATACTACTACTGCACTGTACACGCCTAGCCTGCATACTAGTATATTATGTAGATGTACATGTTGTGCTGACGACTGCGGCAGTACACTGGCTGCTACTGTTGCTGTGGTGTTCACACTGTGGTCCCCTCCTGCCCTGCTGTGTACTACTCAGGTACATGCAGCACATGCCATTGGTCAACACTGCCACGAACCTCACCATCACGTACAATGCCAGTGATACCATCGAGAAGCCGGCTCACTTCATCGTTGAGAAGAGCGCTACGTACTTCGACAGCTACATGTCACCGCTGCGCGCCTGGCGTCTGATGCCCTCCGTCAAGGTCATTGTGATACTGGTTGATCCGGTCAAGAGAGCGTACTCCTGGTGGCAGGTCAGTACCTCCTGTCAAGTACCCTGTGTGCACGGTGGCTTGTGCACGTTTATACATGCATGCGGGTGTATCCCGTTCTCAACACGTACATGCATACATATCTATCTCACACCTTTGTGTGTAGACTGTGTGCGTGTGTGGTAGGAATGTTGAGAGCAACATTCTGTACAGAGTTGTTGTTGTTGTTGTTGGTGTTGTTGTTGTTTGTGTCTTGGCACGCACAAGTCCATCGTTAGTACCTCAAGTTGCCTTTGGCAAGATTATCGTTGTGTGACTGTACACATCCGAAGCACCAGTGTTTATCTACTTCCTATTGCTATGTGTTGGCGTGACTGCTGCTGCTGCAGCATCAAGTGGCCCACAAAGACCCAATCACAACTCAGGTGTCGTTCCGCACGCTGCTGTTGCGCAATCACCGGCACAATCGGGCTAAGTCAGTTCTGAAACAACGATGCCTCTTCCCAGGCCAGTATGCAGTCCATCTGAAACGATGGCTGGCATTCTTTGGGCCCAAACAGGTGTGTATGGTTGCTCTCTGTCATAAGTGTCTCTTGTTGGCGGATATGTCATACTCGGTAATTTCTATTCATGTATCCTCCTATTTCATTAACACCGCACTTTCAGGACAGACACCTCCCCCCTCCCCACAAACGTACTGTGAAAGGAGAGCAAGGCGCGTAGCTGTTCAATGTGTTCATGCATTTTCTATAGTGTGGGCGTGCAACACATGCCAGCCATATCCACTGCAATACAGTCACGCCCCTACTTGTAAGCTGCAATGCAGTTACACATACATGTACTTGTAACTGGTGTGCTGCAACTGCTCTTCGGGGGAGAACACTGCCATGTCGCTCAGCAGTGCTTGTGTGCCTTGACGTGTTCTGATCTGTGTCACATCCAACATGACATGTCTTGCACGTGCCTATTTACTTGTGTGTATCTTGCCCAGATACACATCATAGACGGCGAGGAGTTGGTCAAAGATCCAGTGCCGGTGATGCACGCTGTGCAGAAATTCATCGGGGTGCAGTTCATCGACTACGCACAGCATATTAAGTAAGACAATCAACCAGCTGAGCTTTATCTTGCATTGATGCTTAGTCTGCATGCAGGAACTGTGTCTTGCGTGTGTCCTATTGCACGTGTGTATGTGTGTGTCACTGTAGACTTCTGTGTGCACTGTGTTTTTTTTTTACTGTAGAGGCAGAACATTTCGTCCATGGATCATAAGAGTGTATAGAAAAGTTGACAAATCGACATTAGTCCGGCATTTAATTTACTCCAAAAGCTCCGTGGACGAAAAAGACGGAAATTAAATTCCAGACGAATACTTCTGCTTATACAGTACCTCAGCCTGTGTACAAACCTGTACAATTCACATTGTTCTTTGCTTCTTCAGGAAATCGGCGACGAAGGGCTTTTTCTGCCCAGTGATCAATGGAAAGCTGAAGTGCCTTGGCAAGGGTAAAGGACGCACGTATGCACCAATGGAACCAAGTGCCCGCACGTTGCTCAAGGCGTACTATGCCGAGCACAATAAGGACTTGGCAAAAATCCTGGGTTCGATGAAGGTGCCTCTGCCGACGTGGCTGAAAGAAGATCTCAGGAAGAGGGAAGCTACTGCAGCTGCTGCTGGCAACGCCGCCGAAGTGTAATGCTGTGGAGGTACTGGCAGGTGGCTCCTCGTTCAAGCACTGCCTCGCGTGGTGTGACTTACACTGCCGTGAAACTGCAATGGTGAACATGTTTGTTGAGCGTGTGTGTATGTGTTCGTTAATGTGTGTGTGCGCTTAGCCCGACTCAAGCTTGAGTAATATATACGTGCACACACACGCCGAGATTACAATTCACAGCGTACCTACATGCCGCACTAGCGTGTGCGAGGACTTTGAGTACCGGCGTATAGTAGGATCTACTCCGTTTCTTGATTCAACCAATGCTTCTCCATTCTCGTGTGCAGTGTGGTGTCAATGGCTTGACTGATGTCTCTCATTCTTACCCTCTTGAGCATTGAAGCGTTCTTCCATTCTTCGATAAAGTGTGAGTGTTGTGTGACATAGCCCTTTCTAGTAGTAGTACTATTTATGTTTGAACTCTAGCAGTGATGGTGGTGGTTAGTAATGTGCATCGTGATATCTGTCCTCACACTGATGAGACTTGCTTCTTTCGTTTTTGCCATGGCGCGCACTAGTACCGTTATGATTTGCTGTGCCTTATTTCATACCAGCCGCGTTGATAGAGCGCTTTGTGATCGGAAAGTTTGTGCTCGGGAAAAGAAGCCTGCAGTCCGTGGCTGTGAAGAATCTGGAGATAATGATGGACCAGCAGCAGGGAACTGCCATGACCATGATACCATGACCAAAACTGACCAATAATTATTATGTACAATACTGTGTGTGTGTGTGTGTGTGTGCACAAGCCTCTTGGCATAGTATAACGTAAGATACCTGAAATGGAACTCTTTTTTTGTAACTCAACTGACTTGTCAGTTGCACGCCTCCGGGCCGTGACATGACTATCCTTATGTTAAGAATGTGGTGCGGAGCACTCGCGTCGTACTCACAAGTCAAGTTCAGCATTGATGCAGTTCAACCCTACTTCTCCCACATGACAACTGGTCAGAGGCGCTTGCAGCATGGCGACGGTCTGGAGGCTGCCTCGACATAGAAGGAACCTGTGTTGTGAACATTCGCCAGAGCGCTGTGGACGCGTGCTGTGTGCCAAGCACAGGAAAACTTGGGAGCTGCCCAAGCTGAAGGAAAGATAGTAAAATCGCTCGCATACACCAACCATTGTTCGGGCAGTGTTGCTACTATAGGTACATTAGTATACACATTCAATGATTGAATTCTCACCTGTCACCAGCAGGGGGGGGGGGGGGAAGAGGGCTGTAAAAAGAAAATACCTCAAACAGTGAAAAATAATACAATACATGTACATGCATATGAAGTGCAGCTTGCAGAAGAGTATCCGCAGTACCAGCAGCAGCCAGAGAAGGGGCCATTGTATCAGTAGAGCGACAAAAAGACAGGCAGGCCGGAGAGGAGAAAGGATCTAAGTAATAATTATTAGGAAAAGAAAGTGATGAGTAGTGGAACATACTGGGGGCATATCAACAATCAAGATAGGTCAATTTCATCGAAAGCGAGTTGCATGGTGCACCGTGTGTACGCACGGCACCTATACTAAGAAATAGCTATTATTTGCCGGGAAAAGAACGTTTCATGCAATTTCATGGTCGAGAACATGTTGTGTGAGTGGACAACAAAGACAAAGTCCGATCTGCGTGCAATCAATTCGACTAAAAATACTACCATAAACCTATAAAAGAAGAGATCAGATACCCAGTGCATCGCTCTGCTCCACGGAAGAGATCACACAGTGCACGCCTGGAGAATATTCGAGCTACTGCCATGCGAGTACCGTTACCCGATGGCCTATTGGGAGGGGAGTGAGCGCGACAGCCGCAGGAGACATCAGTCGACTAGACTCTCGTGCAGCTCTCTGAGGGCGTCCGTGGCTTTGCTGAGCATTGCTCTGTTGGCGAGCAGCACACACATGCACACAGGTAGAGATACCCAGTGTTATAGGCCAACGAACAGGCAAGGCTCAACAAGGCACACAGGAGACTCAGCCAGTCATTGCCCTCTCGGCTCATTCCAACAGTACATGCGAGATACAGGCGTGTATGCATTCACACAGACTCGGCAGGGGAGATACACGATAGCGTCGGCGGAAGTAGCGCTAACCTTTCTTACAAGATGCTTTAAGACCTGGAGACGTACTACTGTACAGTTGAAACTTCAGCATACATTACCGTGGACAAGGCGTACGCTCTTCTTTGCATCGGGCCATCGGATATTGAATACCTGCCACTACCTGGGCAGTACAGTAGTACTGTATACTGATCTGCAGGTAGTACATGTAGCGTAGGCTATGCTGAAGTTTCACTGGACTAAGAACAAGTGCGGACATGCAACAACCCCTACCCTAACAGCACCAGTCACCAACAGAACCTTTTACACCGGTAGATGTCCTACTTACTGTTCCTCCGTGCCTATACCGGACTGGTCAGCCTGTGATGCAACTTGCTGCTGGAGAGACTCGGTCAGCTGCAGCACTTGCTCCTTGCGAGCGCAATCTGAAAGCACCACCACAAGCACCACCACCAAGAGTGAATATCAGTTGTAAAACCATGCTTAGTCCCGGTAACTTAGTGCTGATATGCATGCGTGTATGGCTATGTAACCAACGTGCATGGTTTAGCACACAGTGCAGAGCAGCTAAGAATCTTCAGCACAGGAACGGGCAGACATACACACATGTACATGCCAGACTGTTGGACCCGGCCATCGCATAGCCTAAAATCAAAACTGAGTCCACAAAAATTGCAGATTTCGCAAAGGCACGGAGGCACAACAAATTTGCTTTCACTGTCTGTGTACAGCGTGGGTCGAGGTACTATGATTTACAATTTACACAGAGAACAAGTTTGTGCCGCTGCACTGGCCCCTTCATTGAGCTTGGACAAGACCATCCATAAGACTTCAGAGTCTGCTGGAAATGAATACATGTGCCGCCAGTGGCATGCCAATCCACCACACGTTTTTTTGGTTATCGTAGTTTACAATATGAGTAACGTTATACTGTCACCCCCACAACAAACACAACAAACACAACAAACACAACAAACACAACAAACACAACAAACACAACAAACACAACAAACACAACAAACACAACAAACACAACAAACACAACAAACACAACAAACACAACAAACACAACAAACACAACAAACACAACAAACACAACAAACACAACAAACACAACAAACACAACAAACACAACAAACACAACAAACACAACAAACACAACAAACACAACAAACACAACAAACACAACAAACACAACAAACACAACAAACACAACAAACACAACAAACACAACAAACACACCAAACACACCAAACACACCAAACACACCAAACACACCAAACACACCAAACACACCAAACACACCAAACACACCAAACACACCAAACACACCAAACACACCAAACACACCAAACACAACAAACACAACAAACACAACAAACACAACAAACACAACAAACACAACAAACACAACAAACACAACAAACACAACAAACACAACAAACACAACAAACACAACAAACACAACAAACACAACAAACACAACAAACACAACAAACACAACAAACACAACAAACACAACAAACACAACAAACACAACAAACACAACAAACACAACAAACACAACAAACACAACAAACACAACACACACAACACACACAACACACACAACAAACACAACAAACACAACAAACACAACAAACACAACAAACACAACAAACACAACAAACACAACAAACACAACAAACACAACAAACACAACAAACACAACAAACACAACAAACACAACAAACACAACAAACACAACAAACACAACAAACACAACAAACACAACAAACACAACAAACACAACAAACACAACAAACACAACAAACACAACAAACACAACAAACACAACAAACACAACAAACACAACAAACACAACAAACACAACAAACACAACAAACACAACAAACACAACAAACACAACAAACACAACAAACACAACAAACACAACAAACACAACAAACACAACAAACACAACAAACACAACAAACACAACAAACACAACAAACACAACAAACACAACAAACACAACAAACACAACAAACACAACAAACACAACAAACACAACAAACACAACAAACACAACAAACACAACAAACACAACAAACACAACAAACACAACAAACACAACAAACACAACAAACACAACAAACACAACAAACACAACAAACACAACAAACACAACAAACACAACAAACACAACAAACACAACAAACACAACAAACACAACAAACACAACAAACACAACAAACACAACAAACACAACAAACACAACAAACACAACAAACACAACAAACACAACAAACACAACAAACACAACAAACACAACAAACACAACAAACACAACAAACAGCAGAGCCTGATGCATAGACTACTCATCACTGGAGATAAACCCGCGCACCTTTCAAGCAGTTGGCAATGTGTACAACCGCCATCAAAGCCGGCACAGAATCGATGGCATCAACATCCAACGATTTCTGCAGCTGATCCAGGAAACTCCTGCGACAGCAGATAGATAGATAGATAGAGATAGATAGATAGACAGAGAGAGAGGGAGAGAGAGATAGAGAGAAAGAGAGAGAGAGGGGGGGGATTGACATATCAGCACAAGGACATGAATGAACACAGGCGAAGCAAGCCTGTCAAAAAAGGGTTGTACCCACCCGGCGCCAGCAAGATCGGGAGTACCTTGGCACAGGGGTTTCTAGACTGAGAGACTGCTGCATGTTTGTGAGTCTAAAGTTGGTCAAACCATGCTGTTGTTCAAGGCATACTAAATGACCCATTGCATGCATACATACTCCGCAACATACTCACCTCAGAGCAGGGGCAGAGCGGCTGATCACCGTCATTAGCAAGCCACACAGGGCAGGCAGGTCGGAGAATGACGAGCACACAGGACGCGCATATTCCTACACGCACAAGCACAAGCAGAGCAGAACCAACGCAAAGATAAGAGGGGGAGTTGGAATACCGGCAGCACTGACTTCATTCCGACACACTCCGGTGCATACTTTTTCCGGACAGCTTTACTCCTGGTGACAATCAAGGACCAGAAACACATCCCGAGAGAGTAGTAAGCAATGCAATACGAGGTCCAGATTCATCACAGTGGTGGATGAAATCAATTAACCAATCAATCAAAATCATCAGGATAACAGAAGATCAAGATACAGTTCCCCGTGCTGATTGCAGTGCATGACCTGCTCTGAACAAGTACCACTGTACATATCTGTCAGGTGCAGTACATGAAGGGAGGTCTCCATTCGGACGTTTGAACAAATGTAAATGCTGAAAGCAATGCCGAGTTATGAACGAAACGTTCTTCTATGCTATCATCCTACCTCCTCGGCCATTCCTGTCGTCATGCCCACCACTGCCATGGCAACGGTAGACATGGCAGCAGAGACCGACTGTTGCTGGATCGTCGTATTGTGTCGGCGATGATAGACGCGAAGCACTTCTGATATTGTCGACTGGAACAGTGAGAAATACTGCACACAAGGTCATGCAAGACAGAAGCAGAAGAAAACTATTTTGATTTAAAAGATCACAGAGTCACAAGCTGTCAGTGTCATTTTTATGTAATCCATCAGAGCAGTAAGTAGTGTGAATTGTGAAGTTCAGACTGCTGCAGTCCAATATACCAGTCAAGACTGGTGCAAGCAGCTTTGAAATGGTTCGGCC